GAAAATCATCTACCATACTGAGTTTGGCCTGTTACCTAATTCACTAACTTATACCATTTTCGTCAATTGGAGTTATCATATTAGTCAAATAGTTAGTAATCAAATGAATTTACTAGACTAAAAACAAACACCATGAATGCTAACTGCGATTCTTTGGGAACACTCCTAGACTGATAGCTACTACTTTTATATGAACTTCAAGTATGCACACTGCGATAGTTAATTTAGCTTCTAATGGCTAGAGGTACTGATCTCTGAAACCTACAATATCGAATAGGAGTATCATTTGCATAATGATAAGACAGAAGCAGCTGTTAATATAATCCAAATACCTTGTACTGCAATAGGAGTCCGAGTTTGAAGTCTTACTACTTCTTGGAAAAGAATAAAAAAGCAGTCAACTTTTGCCTTATTATTTTTCCATTCGAAAGAGGGAACATTAGTAAATATCATCCTCCTGAATTCCGTGAGAGTTATTTTCTTTCTAATAGTCTTTGGTTTTCATTCACTGTGACAGAAATAACAGGCTAGTTAGCACGAGATTTTTATTGAAGTAAATTACTCAGTGGATTTGTTAACCAGCTACGTGAAATTGTTTAACTTATTTCTCATGCTATCTGTTGGTTGAAATTCAATTTGAATAATTACCCTTCTGAATTTCCTGTTTTTGTTTATTGTGAGATAATATTGTATTCACAATTGGCAAACTTACGAGTTTCTAGGTGACTTTTTCTCCGTCAAATGTTAACACAGATTCACATCATTTTCTTCGGAAAATATGAAAGCAGTTTTAAAACATTTTTCTATGAAATCCTCACAGTTGAATGTCAAAAAGTGGCGTCTTAACAAATCTAGAAAGCCTTCAAGTTATTTCAAAATTATCAACCGATTAGATAACATTACATCAATATCTCTTCCCTGTCAGTCAGTTTTCCCCTATCAATGAAACCGAAGAAAGCAATGTCCTTTTATCAAGAGAAATTGTTTTCGGTTGTAAGAAACTGATAAGATTGACATTACTCAGTGCCTAATATTTGCGATACTACTCGGTCAAATCTTGATCATAGTTCAAATAAATTACTTTGCAACTGATGAGACTTGCTAGAAAAAAAATATATTTTTCATTGATGGTTGTTCGTTCTTTGTTACAATTTGTAGACTGAACAGGTTTTAAAAAGTATTAGGCTCCTACGATTTGCCTGCCAGTTATGCGTACTGTGATATCGTGGATATATTTCGTACAAAAAAGATCGTGTTTGTATCAACTTAATCCGATAAAATGTTTAAAACTAACGTACATATTTCAGTGCACTTTGGTGCTAGAAGTTAAGAGTTAATAAACAGGTTACACTGAACGTAGGTTTCATAAATATTGAGACTCAAGGAAGAAATATTTATAATCTTAAAGTAACTGAAATTCCCTCGAAGACTGTAATACCCTTCAATCCATCTCAAATTCAGAGATTTCATCACTAGACTTTTCACTCCTCTACTGATACCTGAAGGACATTAAACCAATCTTGATGAATCAATTTTAATAGAATTGTGAAATATTTAATTAGTAATAGTCATAGCAATACTGACAGTAGTACTGATGGTGGTGACAGAGTTGAAAGCATCAGAATAATATGTGCTTCTTAACAGCAAGGATTAGTCAAGACCCAAGAATATAAAATTTGAGTAATCAGTAACGATACTGAATAAGAGAATATACATCAGCTGTGAACGAATAGGGCATATTCTCCATTGTACTTTATGCTTCATTCAGCTACAAAAATATCAGGAGAAAAATGCTGGTCCATGACTAAGAAAACAGTTTCTATCGTGCAAAATTGCATTATATATATGCTATTTCCATGTACAATTAGGTGCTCCGGAGTAAAGACCAAATGAATTATTCTGACTGTTCCACTTAAACACTAATCTGTTCAATAAAATCATCATGACCACATAAGAGGACAAATCACAAAATAGAACACAAATATATCTGTCTATCTTGATGAACCGTGACATAAAATGTTATTGACTGTATTTTTTACTGCCTATCAAAACTAGGGTAAAGAAAAAGGACTTTAAAAAAGTTTAGTAAGTTATTTTCAATATTTTATGAAATCATGATAGATACGAATGTTGTACAGACGTTATTTTTTAGTATGCCATAGGTAGGGTTATCTTATAGGATCCGTACATGCGTATGTGTAAATCGAAAGTTCAAGGTTCATTCAAAAGTCCATGCAGAGTCTGACGAGTAACTTCTCCTGTCAATTCCTGCTGAACAAATAAATAAGCTTTGTATACTTGTCCTTTACTTAACCAAGAAGATAGATCAACTACAAATAAATAAAGCATATTTATTCTGACAAGTTAACATAAAATATCTTACTATCAAGAGTAAAAACGAATTTGAGTGAACAGTTGTTTCCAAAAAAATTCTTCTTCAGGCTTTACAGTTATAAATCCATGAGAATAAGTGAAATACAACTGCCAAAATAAGGCATGATGTATAATTATTACTACCTTGTAGCTCAGTTGGTAAAGCATCAGGCTGAAAACCCGGTGGCCGCTGGTTCGAATCCGGCTGTGGTTCAGATTTTCATTTCACCTTCAATCACCACCCAGTATCAATATATTGAAACACTCAGTGTTATGGGTGAATGGAGATCAAATTGAATGGAATGGTGGAATAATTATCTGTCTAGCGTGTTAGTTGTGCAATAAAATTACCATCGGCAGGACAATTACGAAATTAGGAGACAAAATGATGATTCATTTATATACATTTATTGGCTCATGAATGTGTGTTTTTGTTTACTAAGGGTCAAATAATTATGTAGCGATAACTTATATTCAAGTGGGATGAAAATCATGCAAATACTATAACGAAATAGAGAATAACAAATGTGAAGTGTTTCCTCACGGTTGAAGATGACTACCTGTAGTGATATGAATAAAGAAAGGCATAAAACTAATAACATAAGAAAATGAATGTTTATCGATGTAATGACAACATGGTAAAAGGGGTGGGAGGTTAAAATGTTCAATTTATGGTATGAAAGTTCATAAAGAACGTGTCAACCTTATTGTGGCCAAGGTAAACAAAGTGGATGGCTTATCTTGTAGTGACCTTAAAGGTCACCGTAGCAACAAGTGAAATGACTAATCAGGCTTTATTATCCCTCCTGGCAAAGTACTTTTACATAAAATAAAGAAATGTAATTGGGTGTCTCATCAGTTGCTAGGGTGGCCTTTAAAGTCACGCTTCTTTCGGCTATTGCATTTCACTTATTCTCATATATTTATAACTGTAGAGCCTGAAGAGGTTGGTGAAAACAACTGTTCGTTCAAATCATTTTTGTTCTGAATAAAAATGAATTAGCATGTCCTCGCAATGGTAAAACGTTTTGTCCCCGTGGGGAATTTTCTAGAAGGTTGTCAATTTTGCTTTCCTAATTTAGTTACTAACACGTAGTCACTTCAACAAGTTGATCCTTTTACTGCTGGGATAATTATTTTATCGCAATTACGTAAATTATTTAGATTGTTGATATTGGTGTGATGAAAGCACCCGGTTTTGGTTCAAGCGAATACATAAGGTACTCATTTGCGCAGGGAAAAATTATAAACATTAAATTTTACATGACAAGCTGTAGGGGATACTTGACTTCAGTATGATATAGTAATGATGGATAGTGGCTAGCAAGCAACACAGGCAATATCGAGGCATCAGTCCAGTAGCCTATATACTAATAGAGACCGATCAATTCAGTCTAATCAACGACGGTATAATACAAACAACAACACATTCAGTATGATTTATTTATCAGTCATAATTTGTAGGCATAGTCATAGAAGAAAATATTTCTACTTCATGGTGGTAGCATCCTATTCACTACTGTTTCAGAAAATACAGTAGAGGATACTAATCGGGTTAGCATGAGTGGGGGACCAAGTGGAACTCTTACTGGTTCAGCACCTAGTTCATCATTCCCACTGTATTACATGAATTAACTCGGTTGTACCATGGAAGAGCTAAGTGTTGAACTGGCAGGGTAGGCTACTGTTGTCTAACCACCATGACCTGACTAACAGGTTTTGAAATACCTTGTGAGTGGTTTTTTAACCAACTGCAGTGTAAAGTAGTATATAGTGTGCAAATATTGTGCCTGTATGCTCATGGGTCGAGAAGCGCTAGGTGAAATGAACGAGAATGGAGAATTGTTTGCAGATTTCTGTGCATTCAATTGTCTAGTGATTGGAGGCAGTGTGTTCAAGCACAAGGATATCCACAAAGCGACATGGATTTCACCAGACACCGGGACACACTAAAAATCAGATCGAGTTTATCTCAATCTGAGGAGAGTGGAGAC